TTACATTTCACATCAAGACCAACAGTGGTTCTATCAACACTGCCACCTACAGGTCTGTCAAGTACATTGACAATTTTCATGGGGTTTTACAAACACCAAAACACTTACACCTATAGGTCAACAGACAAACAACATTTCACATACCAATCAGTATCCAACTACACTGCCACCTATAGGGCACTCAGCAGATCTCCAGTGCACTTGCATTTTGCAACACCATGTTCACTGACCCCTACCATTCAATAAGACATACAACAATTCACATAGCAAGCACTATATCAACATCAGGTATAAATACATATATTATTACACAGTAGCAGACGCGTCTGTATATACGTAACTGGTAATATAGTTCACATACATTTTCACAGCACGCTGCTCACGCAACAGACTTTCCCCTAGCAAGGGGACATACAACATACAAGGTGGGGACAGACCACATTTTCACTTGTACATACAGCACTTAATGGGTTAAGATTGATACATATTTAACCAGTATGGCTACGATGTTTAATATTTACACATCATGGCACTTTACTTTTCACATATACTGTACGTATTAAGATAAGCTTGGTCTATGCCATATTTCCTTATGCCATACGGTTTTATCCATTCAGGTTACAGTTACTACTAAAAAACCTATACGGATTGTCAGGTTCAATACCATACTACCAGGTACATACACCTGCTCACGTAGTTATCCATCTCTTACCTTCCCTGGAATAGTAATAGTGTACTGGCAATTAGGGTTCTAGGGCCCAATAGGTATTACCCCCTTTTTTCTCTGCATTATGCTTCGGTTAGTGGTCCCGCGAGGCCAACACCCCGCCTCACACTCGGAGGCATACACCCCTCGGGCCACTCGTGAGCTAGCCGCCTCGCATTGTATCATAGAGAGGGCCTCACCTGTCACTCCCCTTCCTATTTTCTGGTTACTGTCACCGAGAGGCCAACATCCTGCCACAATGTTCGGTGGCCACACAAAATCCCCTCGCGCCAAGCATAGATAGAGCCTCTCAAGCCACTTGGCAACTAGCAGGGCCTCACCAGTCACCAAAAAACACCAAGCCTAATCGTTTCGCCTTACGGCTTAGCTAGCAAGCCAGTACAAGAACCCTGGGTACAAATAATTGCATCTTTATTGTTATTTAAGTATTTTTCCAAAAGATGGTGAAGAATCACCTCTTCCTAGCACCCCGGCTAGAATTGATACACCTTCAAGCAGAAGAGATGTTGCTAGTCCTGCAGCAATCAGATCCTGGACGATCCCACACATTACCACCGACCTAAGGAGGTGACAAATCCCCTACCCTGCTACAGCAAGGAAAGCAGAGTTATTCAAACTCCTCCATACATCAACGGACAACACGGAGGCAGGGGAAGGCCCAGCTACATCAACTCAGGTGACACCCAGGCTATGCTAGCCTCACTCATAAACTCATGAGCCAAAAAATTTTATGACAGACTGGCAATCTCGAGTTGGTCACCACAGCCCTCACAAGGCTGGGCCTCACGTTACTGTACAACCAGCACCAACCGAAACTCGGTTACCTGGTACAATCAATTCTTATGACACACAAGATGTTAACCCTGCACGTATGATCCCAGCACATTGGGGAAGCAAGGCATATATATGTATGATGATGTATCTGTGATGGTCAGATTCAGGGATTCCAGGTAAATCGGGAACTGACCATCTCTTGGATGGGTTGGTATTTGGAATATGTAGAGATGTTTATTTGTGCAGGTACCCATACAGAAGGGGTTCAGGCTCCAGGTACCAGCACCTCTGAACTACCAGAGACGATTGATATGAGTAGTTGCATTGCATATAGACTGTTGCATATATGTTCAAATGGTTCAGGGCACATGACAAACCATGTGGCCCAATACAACTTACAAATAACGTACTCACCATCTGTACACACCAATGCATTTTCAACACTACTGACTCTTCACCCTTCCAGACTTGTAGTAGATTTACTAAAGCTCTGGAGCTTCAAAGGGCTCCCATACAGGTATCATAAACACACCTTCAAGGAATATAGCATGCCCTCACTTAGTCAGCACAACAAAACCATTGGCTGAAAACACTCTCATAGCCAAGATTTGCAGAGTGGTCTTCCAATCTCCACCATTTACAGCATGGCACCAAACACACACATTGGTATTGTCACAAGGAATCTTCCCTTAAACAAAGACTAACCATAGACTTATTGGCACCACACACCTCCGCTACCCCAAGTCTCAACTCCCTTCTTACTATACAACACCATTGATCTACCTTTACAGCTATCACTCAAGCATGGGTTAAAGCTTGGTTAAGTAAGACCAATATCATCAACGCAGTAAACAGCTACCATCTACCCTACTCACTGGCACTTACATGGCATAAATTGGGCAATCCTTTCCCTGCTCAACTTTCGAGCTACAGATTAACCTACTATCGATATTCGCAGATACTCTGTGCTGGTTATGATAACCTATCCAGAGGCATTACAGTCATACACTATCTAGAAGACTTCTTGTTGCTCAAAGAAAGCATATTTTTCACTAGAAGCCTCATGGCAGCTTAGTCTGGTTGACCACTTGGGCGTCCCAGTACCCCATAAGAAACAGAAGGCGCAGACACTATCATCACATTACTGGGCATATGACTTGAGTCGGCATCCATACACGCAAGTTACCACAAGACAAATAGGGAACATTCTCAACTAAATCAATCACTACCTCCTGCTTAGTACTTACAACTACAAGGAACTACAATCCCTACCAGGTTCCTTAATTTTGCCATGCCAATCATACCACAAGACCACGCTTTCACATCCAGAGTACTTTCCCCTTTTTTCCACACTTCCAACATGACGATCAGAGGAGGTGCCTAGACACCTCAGCAACAGCAGACCTGCACATGGGGGGGGGGATTTCTTAACCACTTGGCATGGTAAAAGCATGTTCCTTCCAGGATTGTCTGACACTTCTCCAACCAGATGGTCAGACGCAGCGTATACCACGGGTTTGGCAGCGATCTACCGGGAACAATTGCTTTGGGGCTGTTGGCCATGGCATCCAGGTTTGGAAATTTTTCCACCACTTCAGCCCCTTTGGGAGATCTACCCCATTGTAGCAGCTGCTGTGGCATGGGGTAAATCATGGTCAGGGTCATCAATCCGTTGTTACTCAGACAACTAAGCACATATCATATCATCAACAAACGCCACTACTCATCCATAAGTTCATGATGTTTCTGGGGAACTCACTTGGTTGGCCACTTATCACATTTCACTTTCATGTACCAGACGGGGGTATACATCCCTGCCGACAACTGTCTCATTTATATTCCAGGCATGTTCATCATACGCTTCCTACAGCCGCCCATACAGTCACGTCCACTCTTTCGTTCCAGAGACAAAATCATGGATTAGACATACTCATGCAGCATAGCATGCACTATCCCACCTAGCACTTTCGTCCCATACTTGTAGAACGCATAACACAGCTTTTCACCTGGATTAAAGAATCTCATTGGAACACGACATAGCTCAACCTGTGTCACAAAATTTCTCCTCCTAAGTTTTGCTTATTTTTGCCACCTTAAACTTAAACTATCTCATACACCATTAATTATATATTTTACAGGCATTCAACAACACATGATAACCTATGGCCAAAACTACCATAAACTTCATGCTATCATACCAGAAAAGAATATACTCAGAGGTTTTCAGGAATCCATTCCCCCACGTTCCTCTCAGAGATTACCAATAGCCATCCAACTGTTCATCCTTATCGGACCTATTAGATCTACAACCATTCAATTATACTACCAAGTCGGCCATTACCAGCCATGCACATTGCCTTTTATGCCTTTCTCAGGCCAGAGAATCCACTACCATCACCACCACTCAGACAGATCATTGTCTTCAACGATCCCACGTACGTAAACACATATATCATTACCTATTGGCTCTACCACATTCCGAAATGAGTCAACATGCACCAACAGTAGAGATAACATACTATCCTACCCACAACAAATGGTGCCCACTTTCGGTCCTAGATTCCTACCTTCAAAATCCTTTCAGGAATTAAATACTGTAATGCATTTAAGGAAATGTCTGGTTAATTTGTATATATTTGTTGACTGTATTAAATCTTTGATTATTCATTTTTGCCCTCTTTATTTACAGGCCTACCGTATCGTCGGTATCGGCACACCACAACCGACTTGCTCCCTTTACACTATCCTAAGCTTATGCTGGATCCTTACTCCATATACGGATATTTTGCCCCTTACACAAGTATTAAGGCAGTTTTGCCTGTATTTGTGGGAGGGGCTTAAATTAATTCACTCCCTATATAAGGGACACCCCTTACCTGACTCATATCGCTTGAGGTCAGCATCAGAATGACCCTCCCACCCACTCCTCATTTCAACACTTTCTCTTTTCTTTCCATTTACTTTACTTTCTTACTCCTTGGTGGGCCCTCTTTGTTTACAGGCCTACCGTATCGTCGGTATCGGCACACCACAACCGACTTGCTCCCTTTACACTATCCTAAGCTTATGCTGGATCCTTACTCCATATACGGCTATTTTGCCCCTTACACAAATATATATATATATATATATATATATATATATATATAAAATGTACTGCATTAAAACCTTTGAATGCTTATTGATACAATATCTGTGTGGTGTGATTCTTTAAGTATTCCCAGCAGCTGGAGAGTTAAATGGCAGTGTAAGGGTTTCCAGACTCTGAGATGATTTTCAGCCTAACATCATGTAACAAGGAAATAGTGCAGCCAGGAAGCAGGTTTAAAGACTGCTATTGGAATCCCCGAACAAGTGAAATAGGACACACAGTTCCCAAAAGAAGTACCACACAATACTTTTTTTGAACAATGACTAGTAATTTGGTGAATTGTCCTTAAACGTGTGGGGGAAATCATTTAATATACAAATATACAGAAAAATGGGAAATAAGCAATTCTAGTAATACATCAAAATATTTATTACAAGTAGTTCTTTAAAACACATTAAAGTGTATATAAAGATAGATATAGTTACACTAAATTACATGTCAACTTTATGTCAATTTGCACATTTTCATTCAGTTAACAGGGGATGCTTACAAGTTATCACAATACCAATACATCATTTGTACATTGCTACTGTTAGTTATTATTTATATTGTTAGCATGAGAAAGGCTTTGCTATAACACGAGGTGCTGAAATGTAAGCAAACTTTGAATTGATTTTAGAATGTCTCACATTCAGAGTAAAATATATTTTATTCCTAAATTAATATATAGATGCCCCTATGACTATGACATTTGGAACAATTAAAACATCACACAATTACTCTCCTGTGTGAGTTCTCTGATGACTAACAAGGTGTACATGCAGGCCACATTCAGAAAAAGGTTTCTCTCCTGTTTGAATTATTTGATGAATAACAAGCTCTCCTTTACTGATAACACATTTTCCACATTCAGAATATGTGTGAGTTCTCTGATGTGTTTCAAGACTTGCTTTACCGACTTGACATTTTCCATTCCCACATAGCAACCAAGCAACATGGTGGGAAGTAGCAGAATTAAAAGGTAAAAGAGGCCCTTTAAGAAGGCGTGAAAAATAGGTTTGTGAAATAACAGCTACTTTTGGATGCCGTAGTCTGAGGAGGTGGGTTTTGAGGGACTTGATTTTCCAGAATTTTCTTCATATGGCGTTGGCTGCCACACTTAGCTTTGCATCCTGAGTGAAACTTATGAATGATGTTGTTTGGGTCACAGACAGTAAGAGAGAGTCTGGGATTAGATAAAGCAATAAACTGTGTGTGAAAAGGCATGCAGAAATTAAGTGAGAAAATTAAACCAATCAATGGGAGAGATTAGTTAGGTGAAATTGATAAATGGGGAACATCAAATAACCAGACAATATGTGCAATAACTCTCACACTAACAAAAATTAAACAAACATTAAAGAATTCAAGAGTTGTGCATTGAAGGCACAGAAGTTTTCAAATTTAACATTAATATCAAAGGGGAGGAAAGTAAAGAGGGGCTCTGTAGAGTTAACACATTTGCAATACCAATGCATCATTTATAAATTACTACTATCACTGGTATTTCTTTCTTGTGTCAGCAATAAAGCAATTCACAGTATTAGTTGTTTAATTCTGATGCTAATTCATAAACACATTATAAAAACTCTTCTGTGTGAGTTATCTGATGATTAACAAACTCTGGTTTACTAATAAAACTATTTCTCCATTCTGTACATGAGAAAGGTTTCTCATCTGTGTGACTTCTCTGGTGTGCAACTAGAGCTGAGTGCTGGCTAAAGCATTTTCCACAGTCAGAACATGACGAAGGTTTCTCTCTTGTGTGAGTTCTCTGGTGTGCAACTAGAGATGCCTTAATGGTAAAACATTTCCCACATTCAGCACATGAGAAAGGTTTCTCTCCTGTGTGACTTCTCTGGTGTGCAACTAGAGACGTTCTAAGGCCAAAACATTTCCCACATTCAGCACATGAGAAAGGTTTCTCTCCTGTGTGAGTTATCTGATGTTTATTAAGATCTGAGTGCTGGCTAAAACATTTCCCACATGCAGAACATGTGAAAGGTTTCTCTCCTGTGTGAGATCTCTGGTGTACAACTAGAGCCGAGTTATGGCTAAACCATTTCCCACATGCAGAACACGAGAAAGGTTTTTCTCCTGAGTGAGCACTCTGATGTGTACTAAGACCTGAGTACTGGCTAAAACATTTTCCACATTCAGAACATGAGAAAGGTTTCTCTCCTGTGTGAGTTCGCTGGTGTGCAACTAGAGATGCCTTAATGGTAAAACATTTCCCACATTCAGCACATGAGAAAGGTTTCTCTCCTGTGTGACTTCTCTGGTGTGCAACTAGAGACGTTCTAAAGCCAAAACATTTCCCACATTCAGCACATGAGAAAGGTTTCTCTCCTGTGTGAGTTCGCTGGTGTGCAACTAGAGATGCCTTAATGGTAAAACATTTTCCACATTCAGAACATGAGAAAGGTTTCTCTCCTGTGTGACTTCTCTGGTGTGCAACTAGAGACATTCTAAAGCCAAAACATTTCCCACATTCAGCACATGAGAAAGGTTTCTCTCCTGTGTGAGTTATCTGATGTTTAACAAGATAGGAGTGCTGGCTAAAACATTTCCCACATGCAGAACATGTGAAAGGTTTCTCTCCTGTGTGAGTTCGCTGGTGTGAAACTAGAGATGGCTTACGGGTAAAACATTTCCCACATTCAGAACATGTGAAAGGTTTCTCTCCTGTGTGTATTCTCTCATGGGCTCTTAGATTTGAGGACAGGCGAAACCATTTCCCACATTCAGAACATGAGAAAGGTTTCTCTCCTGTGTGTATTCTCTCATGGGCTCTTAGATTTGAGGACAGACTAAAACATTTTCCACATTCAAAACATGAGAAAGGTTTCTCTCCTGTGTGGGATCTCTGGTGTACAACAAGGTGTGCATGGCTGTTTAAACATTTTCCACATTCAGTACATGAGAAAGGTTTCTCTCCTGTATGATTTTGCTGGTGTGCAACTAGAGATGACTTAAGGGTAAACCATTTCCCACATTCAGAACATGAGAAAGGTTTCTCTCCTGTGTGAGTTATCTGATGTTTATTAAGATCTGAGTGCTGGCTAAAACATTTCCCACATGCAGAACATGTGAAAGGTTTCTCTCCTGTGTGAGTTCGCTGGTGTGAAACTAGATATGGCTTAAGGGTAAAACATTTCCCACATTCAGAACATGAGAAAGGTTTCTCTCCTGTGTGAGTTCTCTGGTGTGCAACTAGAGATGCCTTAAGGGTAAAACATTTCCCACATTCAGAACATGAGAAAGGTTTCTCTCCTGTGTGACTTCTCTGATGTGTTACAATTTGTGACTGCCAGCGGAAACATTTTCCACATTCAGAACACGAAAAAGGTTTTGGGTTTATGTTTACTATCTCCTTTGTAGACATATAGGATTCTGAGAGATTGCTTGAGTATGGAGAGTTGGAATCCTTGGTCTTTTTATTAAAAGATTTCTTCATAATCTTTTCTGTTGGTATCCTGTCCTTTATAAAAACTTCTGCTGTTGGAAATATCTGAAACAAAATGTAATGGGAGTTATAGAAAATATTATTTCAATAAATTATTTATTGCTTACCATACTAAGAAAAAATGACTATTTCCATGAAACATCAGAAATATGTCTATGAAACATGGTGATTAAATAATATCTTTAAAAAATATTTGTGTGCTCTAATTTCCATTATAATATAAACATTGCATATACACACGTTTATTCACTTGGCAAAATGTAAAATGACACTATGCCTAACGAACACCGCTGGGAAAATCATAACGTTGCCTGCTCAGTTCCCAGACAAGCCAATAGAGCACTTTTCAGAGAAAAGACTCTCCCAAACAAGGAGAACATTCACACATACGAGCCAGAGGGAGACTTAGTTTATGTAGATACAGGAATTCCACACAGTGTACCGGCCACTATCTCCTTTCCTCGCTGGCGATTCGGTTATACTACATGGATACGAGCGATATTTGCACAACTTGGGCGCTCAAATCCGGGCTATCCGGGGATATAATACTTGTGGGGGTTCTTATTATACATTTGGGGTGTTTTGTATTGTACCTCAAGTGCCTGGAAGATAATTTAAGTAGAAGCAAGCTCACTTGTCTCACAGACAGAGGCGTCTGGGCGGTCTTCATGTAAAACTGAATGGAGACCCACTTTACTCTCCACTTACCGCTCCCCATATTCCCCACTCTTGTGCCCTTCCTTCTCTCTTTCCACCACCCTCCATCCTTCCCCTCCATCACCCTCTTTACCCCTGTCGTCCTGTAATCCGTCAGAAGTATTAATTAAATGTATACTGTAAATCACTACTTAGCAGATGTGACTCCATTTTGTAACAATATATATTTTTTTCTTTCATACGTTATTCTCTGCCTGACCAAACAGATTGGAATGTGTCTATGTAAACACATTGATTAGAGAAAACACATCTCTTACATATAAAACAAAGTGTTTGGAAGGTGGGGTGAAAATATATATGTCTCTATATTTAATTATATACAAAAAGTACCTATATTATTAATTTGAAAATATTCAGATAGAACCTAATGAATGGATCACATTATTATTAAAACATCCGTTGAATGTGTGTAAAAGACATGTATAAATGATACGTTATGACATATTACTAAAGTAGCAGAACTATTCCCCTCTCCGTTCAGTTGTCCGTAGCCCCCTTTCGGTACCCTCCTTTCATTTGTTTCCAAAATGAAGATAAGTTACCCCTTTTTATTCACCCCACCACGCCCGAACACCGCCAACCCCATGGGCTTGTTAACTTCAAAGACAAGGTGCATACACATCTTTAAGGTAACCACTACAAGACACACCCAGAGCTGAGACTGAACAGCACTAGAAGAATATCTGGGAGAAAGAAGCATCTCATAACAACAAGGCCCAAGGCATGCTGCCAGAACAGTAAATAGTCACCATCACAGTAGAAGATATCCAACAGCAAGTAGCACACATGAAGAGTTGGTCAGCCCCGGGACCTGACATGATCCACACCTACTGGATAAAGAAGTTAACAACACTGCATGAATGCCTAGCAGCACAAATGAACCAGCTACTAGCAACAGGCTCCCATCCTGACTAGCTAACACAAGGCAAAACAATACTGGTCATGAAGGACCCACAAAAGGGACCACCATCCAACTACCAACCAATACCTGCCTCCCCACAACATGGAAACTCCGGTCAGGCATCATAGCCTCCAAGATCCAAGGGCACATGAGTCAATATATGAGCAATACTCAGAAGGTGATTGGAAACAACACCAACTACTGCTAGACCAAGCAGTCACAAGGGATTTTTTTTTCCAATTTCTGATTTTTACTGACAATTGTCATAAGAAACATAGAAAACAGTTCAGGGTACGAAAAAGAAAATAGGGAGGGGGGAAATAACATTTGATTTTGCTTCTCAGCACACACATTCAACACGACGAGTTGTGGATTCGTCTAATTAATTTACATTATACATTTCTTTACAGGACTCCTCTAGGCGGACGGGAGTGCGTAACATTAGCATATCCATGAGTTGCTTATGTATCCTCCCCTCCGGTGTGTAGGTTGTAACGGATCACCTGGCTGGGTACCTCCGTTAAAGGATGCTCCTAGTGTTCCGGAGGGCTCCAAGCACGCCAGTCGACACCATAACCACCATAGACTCCTTCAGAGAGCAAGACAGGAACAAGCTCTTACAAGAGCTTAGCAGTGAATATAGCAAGAGCGTATGCAGAGCATAGCAATCCCTTGTAGTAGATTCCCCCAAGAAGAGACGGCACTCCAAATTGAGGGTGAAGTAGAACTGAACTTTTATTCAAACACTCTGCTTTTAGGCCCATTCTACAAACATAGTACTGCCCACAGGGTTTTGAAGTACAACCAATCAATACATACAATACACTCAGACACTCCCATACAAAATCCTGCCCTCTGCCTGTGATATAATTACTTAAAACAATGGGCTAACAATTAACACAGGCAAGAAAATATACAGTTTTGCACAATATTCATAACTCCAAAAGTATACATCACATTCACATAAAACTTTTCAGAATCAGCATACTCCAAATACAAACATACGTCAAAATTATACAAATTGGTCCAGTGGGTCAAAAGTTAGTTTGAAGTCCCTTTGTGAGCGACTGCAAACATTGCTTGGGTGTACGCCAATTATCTCCAGCATACAGAAAATAGCTCTATTCAAAACAACAGTAAAAACATAGAAAAATACATAATTCCTATCATACTGAATAGAACCCCCGCATTCAAGCTATCCCCAGATAGCTTGGATCTGAGCGCTCACTATATCCGAACAGCGCTCAGATCCCACAAACACTGTCAAATCGCCATTGGGTTAAAGTTTAGCAACAAGTTCCAACTGGTCTGGCGCTGTCCCTGGAACAACGCCCTGCTGGAGAACAATAGACAGGAAACGGGGGAGGGGCACACCTTCTCATGTATTCAAAGGGGCAGAAAAAGTGTTTCAAAATCCAATAAGACCAAATAATGCTTACACAAGGCAAAGTCTCCCAGGGGCCATAGTCACATGGCAGGAGGCTGGCAATCAGTCTTCTCCAATGCCCAGTGGCGAGGCTGTTCTGCCACATAGGTAGTGTGCAAACTTTACTTAAGTAACAGATTTACAGGTAAGAGGGAGGGGGTAAGGAAAAGGGGGGGAGGTGGTTGGGTAACAAGTCAGATCTAAAACCGTGCTAACCAAGATGGTGACGAAGGTCTCAATTCCTCACAGTCCTCAGAGACCCAGTCCAACTCAAAGCAAGATACAAGCCGGTATACCGACGCTCCGGTGACGGAGAAAAAACTCTACACTATGCTACAAGAGTTTAGGGTCACTCTGCAAGCAGACTTCAAATGAGTTACTAATTAAATACAAATGGATATAGCGGATCTTGGCAAACGCAAACTGCCCAGGGGCCCGTATGGAGGAATAATGTACAGAACATAATGAGATGGCAGACACCGTACAACATTTAGCTGATGAGCACCAGCAGCTTAAATGTAAACTGGCGGACATGGAGGACCGGTCCAGGAGAAATAACGTGCGCTTCAGAGGGATCCCAGAAATGCTAACAACAGATGCCTTATATGAATACTTTGTAAATCTATGCAAAACCCTACTACTGGACATAAAAGAAGGGAATGGCTCATTGACAGGGCTCAGATTGCCCAAACCCCAGAGACTTTTGCAATACACACCGAGAGACGCAGTGGCAAGATTCCACTACTACAAAACCAAAGAAGA